ACGGGCTATACCGAAAATAAAATATTTTACATTTCAGTAGCACGCACGTACTTCTTCAAGTGTGACCCCGGTACAGCGAAAGTGATACTGGAGCTGCGCAAACGTTTGGAATGGCTGATGCAGAAGCGCGCGCTAAATCCATCCCCAATCCTGCCTAATAGTAGTGAGGATTACATCGTTAAAGCAATTCAAATTCTTTTATCGTTGGATGATGTGTACGATTATAGCGATCAATATATGTCATCCGATGAAGAACAAAACTGAAATACTTTTGAATAGTTTGAGTTGCTTTTTAGATGGTTTTGTTTGTATTTATGAATTCTACATACAAAAATTAAATTATGAATAAATTTTTTTAGTAAATGAATTACTATTTGCAAGGGCATTTCTAAATCTTTAAAAATAAGTAAACATTTGTATTTGCATGCATTTCATGAATCACAAATAAAAATATAAAACGTCCATTTTGGTATTATGATTTAACACTGCAACTTTAATCCAAAAAGGAGTATAATAGACTAAAACATAAATGCATAGAGAGTAGAATTTATGATGGGATAAATTTATGTACATTAGACCGTACCAGAAAAAGAACTTCGCCGTACATCTCTGAGTCTCTAAAGTATTTTTGCAAGGCAATTTGGAAAAATTATTTAACGTACCACCCTAATGTCAACTGTCTTTGAACTCACCACTGTCTGTCGAAATACATCTTGAAAGCTATTTTCTGTCTTTCGAAAGGCTAATTGAAGGGTCTGCTAACAAAGAGGTCTTTGCGTTATTCTGTTTGTCTTTTAGCAATAAGTTTTCAAAAAATTAAATTAATAAACAAGCAATTTTTAAGCAAAAAACAAAACCGACTTTAATTCTCATATAAAAATTTAAGATTACCGTTAATTTCTTTAAAAAACATTTTTCATCTAATAACTGTTATAAAACAACGTTTTCGTTAAATTTCAGAATTTGGGCAACGTTTTCAATTTTTAAGTTCGTTTGGTCCCTGAGATAAATTCGTTGTATACTTGAAATATTAGCTTTCCCAATTAAGTGTTTTATGTTTAAAATGGAAATGTTTACTCTAAATAGTTCCGCCTGTTTTTACTTGAGCGCAAATATTTTTGTATTAATTACACAGGTTTACAAAAAAAAAGTGTATGCATATTAAACCAAACCTATATATCCCTATGTTTTTCGACATGCTGAATGCGAATCCGAGGTCCGTTAGCCTCCATCACGTCAGGTTCGTGGTCATTTGAAGGTCAAGTAGGGAAAAATTCATTGAATAACCAAACTATCGCAAACTATCGATTGGCCCCACTATCGATAGTTTGACAGCTCTAGAATATACATAAATAAATGTTTTCGCATAAACGGATCGTTAATACTTTATACATGCTTTTAGACACAACTTTTGAAACAGCCCTAAATACATAAGTTTATAATGTATGCAGATTGACAAGGGAGCTTTTGATGAAAAAAATTACCTTACCCAAAAATCTCTAATCATGTCTGCCCTCTTTGTTTATGAGCCGGAAACATGAACGATAGGTAGTCATTAATATGCTTAGAATAGGTATATCTATGTAATGCCGAATTTCTACAAGGCATTGAAATGACCAAAAACTTAAATCGAAAAAAGGCCGTTTAAAAAACGCCATGTGGAAACGGACACAACGACTATCTTTAGAATGTAATGGCACAGGTATTTCTTAATGCTCAACATTTTCATTCATAATTGAGTCATTTAATGCCTATTGGAAATGCAGCATAAGTGAAAGGATGAACTAACTATATCGAAGCCAAGATCAATTTCTGATGTCTTCAGTGGTTGACCCTATAGAAGTATTTATTTCTTGTAAATTAAACCTAATTGTAATCACCTTCAGGAAAATATTTGTAATCATATGAAAGGCATCACGCCGCATCGCCGTATACTAACTGGTTGCTGGACGTGAGTGGGGCCGTAAATTCACACTCGTTATTACTATGATCCACTAAATAGAACCTACTGCATAAGCCCCCAAAAGAAAGTATGTACATGCATATTCTTTTAAAGGGTCTTCCAACATTGAAGTTAGAATAGACTCACTTTAATGTCAGATTTCCACTGGGCACTAAATTGCATACTACTTAGGCCATAATGCTAGTTTGTAGAGCGATCTTGTTACAAAGATCAATCAGTGAATGTTGGGAAGTGCCTGCCTGAATACAAACCTTTACCGCCAAAGTCTTCGAGTGCTTAAAGAATACTGACGACAGCTTGGTGGTGATTTCATTCCACATATGCTTCTGGTTTGATGTTGCTGAAGGCGACCTCAATGTCTAAATAGGGAGCCAAAGTATAGTCTTCATAGTTCAGTGATTTCCCAACTTCGAATGTAGTGCTGTTGCGACTTCTCCTTTCTAGTTATACTTAAACACTGTAAAAAGTTATTCACCTAATTTGGAACACCCTCTATATTATGCATGTGCGTGTAAAATCGCACATAAATATGTATGAATATGTAATTTAATTTCTTTTGCAACGGTTGTTAGTTTGTGGTATTTACGAGCCGGTTCGTCAGCGAGTTATTTATATTACATAGTAGGTATGTAGGTATAAGCATGTATGTAACTTCATGCTAGCCGACACCGGTTTTGGAAAGCTTCAAGGCATTTTATGAATGAATTTACGCGCTGAATTGGCTACTTGTAGCGGAAAGCTGTAATTAATTTCATTAATATATTTTTTTAATATTACATGGATTTTCACTTGAACAGGAATGTACATATCGCTAAGTTATTAAAAGACTGGCATAACTCAAAAAATATAATTTTTGAACTAATTATGCAAAATTAATTGTTATCGTATACTTTTGAGTTGTTACAGTATTTTAGTAAATGGGCGATATGTATGCAGATAGTGAGAAAGAGCAACACATTGATTGCAACTCAGAGTTGTTAGAATTTTAATGAATAGATATTTATGTTTTTGGAATGTAGGGGGCCCTAACTGATAATTTACATTGCTTTTGAGATAAAATCATGAGCTTTTAAGTTACTTAACAATTAAAAAATTGGGCGTTCCTACATTTCCTCAACGATACATTATGTAAAATTTTGTAAAGTTTTCATTTCATAGAAGTACTACCCCGAATAAAACTATCTACTACAAAACTAATGATATGTTTTGAACCAGTTTTCAGATTTTCAAAAACTAATCATATCATTTTAAAAATTAACAATTTCGCCTAATTTGTAAAGGGACAAGACAAGCATCCCTTCACATCACTGATGGGCACTGTCTTGCCCGCGGGCAAAGCTCTTTTGAGCTTCCTATACATTTTGTATAGGCGCGTGCAGAGTAAAAGCTCTCTCTGCTCATCGCTGCTTCACATACATAGATAACTGAAGAGCACAGATGGGCACTGCCTTGCCCGCGGGTAAAGCTCTTTTAAGCTTTCTAAACATTTTGTATAGAGACGAGCAAAGTAAAAGCTCTCTCTGCCCAACGCTGCTGAAGAGGAATGCATCACAACACATATTTTAAGGAGTGTATGTACTCTCTCTCTCTGGGCACATTGAGCCTATGCTGTTCATTCGTCGCCTCGCTACGGCGGGTGTCTCCTCAGGTGCCTCCTCAGTTGAATCGCAGAAACGACACAGTTCATTCGACCCAATTGCTAACTTATGTCCTTAGCCTTCTGTGCCCTGAGAGGATGCCTGTAATGAATAGAAGTGAAAAGATTAATTAAAAATACATATTTATTTAGATTGTACTTCTCCCAGGAAGTTTTTGGGCATTACCAGTGTTGCTCTCTCCTACTTATTGTTCTTTTCCTAAACTCTTCTCTAATTGTGTTGGGCCTACTGCAAGGCTCAGGACCTATTGAAGCTGGGGCCGCCGCTATTCTAGATAAGCCTTCCGCTATCTCAATCCCCCGTATATCCTTGTGGCCTGGTATCTATGGTAGCGGTACGTTATTGTATTGAAGAAGGACTAAAGATGATTTAACCTCGAAGGCTCAAAGTGCTTTAAGTTTCACCTGAATGTCGCTAAGAATTAGAGTTATCTCATTACGGTAACCTCTACGTAAATTAATCTGTGTACGTCGATTGATGGCGTAGACTTCCGCTTAGAAGATGCTCGGGTATTCGCCAATGAGCACGGCTAGGCTCATCCTGGGACGGCAAATGCCTGACCCAATGCCTTCTGGTATTGTGGAACCGTCAGTGTGCCAATGCATGGTATTGGCCTGTACATGCCCCTCCATAATGAAATTGCTCCAGGTCCCCTTGCTGCAAAGCTCTATATTGAATTTGTTTTAAAAAAAATACCTTATTTATGTATTCTCTGAGGAAAAGCGCGGGAGCTGGGATCCTAGTTTCTTTATAATACTAGACGATAGGATTTTACACTTGCCATAACCATCCGCCTGCAAAGTTTAAAACAGTACGCTTGGCTGCCTGTTCTATGGTGAAATACAGTGATTCGGGCTGAAGAACTACCTCTAGTGCTGTTGTCGGGGCTGTGCGCATTTTTCTCGTAATGCAAACACAGGCCATATAAACACGAATTTCTTAAGGACCGTTTACAAATACATAATTTAAAAAAATCAAGACAGATTTTTTTAAATTGCACTTACTGTGGGTTTGAGTCAAAATCGTACAGTAAATTTTTTCCATATTTTGAAAATATTTTGTTTTATTTAAAGTTTTATTAATTTGTTATAAAAAATATAGTTAATTCTACAACAAAATCCATAAAAATCAAAGTTTCTAACTTTGTTATAATCAAAAAAAATATGTAAAATTTTCATAAAAATTTCACACTTTTTATTCAGAATTTTTTAGGTATCGGCGTACCTAATAGCCTAATTTTAGTAAAATGAAGTGCAAGTTTGAAGGCGCTACAAATACCGTTGATTTTTGACAATTTTTTTTTCGAGGGTGTTGCGCATTTACCTCCATATAAAAATAGATTTTGTTTATGGTCACACGCCATTCACATATGTAGGTCACACTCCATTCACATTTACAATAATATCGGATGATGATAGAAAACCCTGTATTTGTAATGATATCGGTAACCATATCGAAAAATATATATTTCGATAACCACATCTTTAAATATTTCGATAACCATATCGTTGCATATTTCAGTAAACATATCGACAAGTATTTCGATAGCCATTTAGATAAATATTCCGATAACCCTATATAAATAATTCGGTATAACTAATTAGAAACGAAATTCAAAATGATATTATTTGCAAATTATATATATTTTTTATTTTTAATAATTTTCATTTAAAATATAGTTCAATCTGCAACAAAAGCCACAATAATAAAAGTTTCCAAGCTTGTAAAAATTGCAAACAAAAATTTATAAAACTTCAAAGAATTGTCATCAACATTTCCAAAATGTCAATAAGAATATTTAAAAAATTTTCGGGTATGCAGTTCTGTAGCCCATTCAATTG